AAAAAAAAAAAACAATAGAATTGATTATAAATAAAAATTTAATTGCATAATGCTACGGTCCTGTTACGGAACCATTCCGTCGGGTTTGTAACCGATAGATCAACTATATCTAACGGTTACATGATGATCTAACGGTTACAAACCCCTGGCGAAACAGTTTCGTAACGGGACCGTAGCATTTCCATTAACTAATGATTAACAATACACAATTCCAAAGTTGCAACCATTTCTTTGTATTTGGGAAACAATAATAGTTCCACACTTGGAGAAAGCACCTTTAAATCACTGTGAAGGGGTCATAGCCCATACAGATGATGCTTTCATTCATTCATTCTTTTCTTTTTCCTTTTTATCAGTTCTTTTTATTTTATTTTTTTATTTTTTTATTTTTTGGTTCTTTTTTAGGCTATTGTCTTACATCTTAGGGGTATTTTTTTAATTGAGATGATTTCATTTTGCTTTAATGGACCATTGGCCCTCAATTTTTATTATAAGCCAATTATCTAATCTTTTGGAAAAAAGCATATATGAAGAAAGAAAGCAATTTCCACTGTTCTTCCTACATAGTATCAGATAGAAACCCCTTCATTTAATTTTGTGGGGATTGTACAAAAATAAATAAATAAATAAAATGATAATAATAATAAACTTAATCATTTAGGAACAATAGCTAGTGGTAATAATAATAATAATAATAATAATAATAATAATAATAATAATAATAATAATAATAATAATAATATTTAAGATGAATCTAAAAAAAGATTCAGCATAATTTGAATATGCTTCCATCTTAAAAGCTTAGGGACTAAGCTTTTCTATGCTTTTGGACCATATTGTGTGTGTGTGTGTGTGTGTGTGTGTGTGTGTGTGTGTGTGTGTTTGATAAAAAGTGCAGGTGAGTTGTATACTGTACGTCATGATAATTGATATGTCAAAACAAATTGGACTAAGATAAAGATTTTTTTTTTATTTTTTTATTTTTTGGGCATTAGTGTTTGTATGACCAAAATTATTAAGGGAAAATGACAAATTTGAGGAAGCCCGAAAATAGAACAAAAAACTTTGCCTCATTGATATTTTTCCCTTCTTGCTATGTTTTATTTATGTTTTTATTTTATATATGCATTTTTTTCTGTGTGTGGGGTTAATATTTTTATTAATTGATGTTGTAATTTTGTATATGCATTTATTTATTTATTTATTTTGTGTGTGTGGGGGGTGAATTATGGATAGTAGTAAGATTAAATGAATTCGAAACAATATAAGAAAAACAATATCTCAACCGAAACTCGAATGGTATTTTTCTAGAAGAAAAAACTTGTAAACCTAATATTAGTAATAAATAATAACTGTGTTCATTTGCTTATCTTGCATTTAAGCTGTTACCTCAATAATCTATAATTCGATTCAAGCAAACGGACCAAAATTGAATAAAACCCCAATAGTGAAACGGCACCATTATACGGGCTTAATATACAAAATGTTATGGGCCAGTTTTATTATGTCCATTTCAAGATTATATATACAGATCAAATGGGAAAATTTTAGCCATAGACAGCGAATTATTTTTTATTGCAAGAATACCAACTGAGACTAATTTAATTTCAAACATACCACATGTATTCAGTTACCTCAACAAACAAGGCTCATTCCTTAAATCACGGGATTTATGAAGCAGCGGTTATTTTGTGGAAAAAAAATGTAAAAATAATGGAAGTGTATATCCTAATATATAGGATATTCTTTAATTCAAATTTAAATCACATGTAGTTTGAAATTTAAAGATTATTATCTTGTGGTGCAGCATATATCCAGCTACTATATCCATTAAAAAAAGTGGGTTCATTTTTTTATTTAATCTTTTTTGTTTTATATTTAATAATTTATTAAATGAGTTTTTCAGTTTTTTAATGGTATATATACAGTTTTTTTAATGGTATATGTATAGTTTATTTTAATCGTTTTTATTTTTAAACATTGCACTTTTGAGAATATACCGAAAATATACTAACTATAAACCCTGAATAACCATACAAATAAAACGCTCCACCCTTAATTGTCGTGCATATTCCATTACAAATACCAAAAAAAAAGAAAGAAAAAAAAACATGTGTTGTAATTCACGCAGGTCCAGGGTGGGTATATGTTGCGTTTATGTTAGTATATATTCAGTATATGCTTAATATATATACATAAAAGATACCATAAAAAATGTTGGTGTATGTGTTGTATATATTTCAGTGATTATAGTAAATATAAAACATAATTATGGTATATATAATGAATATATAAAACATAATATCGGTATATATACTTACAATACAAACCGTAATGATGGGATATGTATTGTATATGTTTTCCATGATTTTACTAAATATAGACCATACATATACCGAAGATATACTGAATCTAAATCATATATATAACAGAGGGGGAACGATACAAACAGGATACAATATGAGGGGATAAAAATATACCGAAAATAAGACGTACATATACTGAACATATACTGCATATACACTCTACATATACTAAAACATATAACAAAATAGAGAATCGCAACTGGCAACAACTTCATAACATCTCAAGAAAACAATCAACTCAAACAAGATGTGAAAACCCAACAAAATGTACACCCTATCAACCGACAAGAATAAAAATTAGAGAATCACGAACATAAGAAATGAAACCAGGTATATATCCAACGATTAACGCCAATTCATTACATAATAATTTTTTTTAATTAATTGCAGCAAGATCATCGAGATTGACAATCCTCTTGATGCGGCTCTTCCATTGTCGATCGTCGATCTCTCCGACGGGGGCATCTCAGACGTCCACCAGCTGCGTCCTGTTTTCAGCGACGGTTTGCACGCCAGACCATTTCCCGACGAGTTTTGACATTTTCGACCCCCAATCGCAACGCAAGCCTCAACCCCTGTCGTGCTGCAAACCTCGACAATCGGCGACCTCACCTTTGAGCTCTGTTCGGCGACCTTCGACGGGCCCCGACCTCCGATGGGCTGCGACCTTCACAAGCGACCGCCGACCACCCCGTTGCCGGAAGCCCTACACGGGTGCGGGAAGAAGAAATTAAAATTTGGGATTTGATTATTGTGAAATTTTTGAGTTTCTGCTAATTGTAGAAGAAAGAAATTTGAGGATCAGTCGAGTAGAAAGAGAAGTGACGGGGGAGAAGAAAAACGAAGAGTGGAAAAAGGAGAGGAAAAAAAAAAAGAAAAGGAAAATAGGTGCCAACCAGAACAAAATCTTATGAGGTTTTACAGTGGAGAAGATAATCGTAGAGAGAGAGGGGAATTACAAGCTTGTAAAAAAAAGGTGCCGTGTGAATACAATTATTGTGTAAGGAAGGCCCAATTAAATGCATGAGTTACATTTTAAGTATATTTGTAATACTTTTTACTTGGTTTAGTCATTTTATAAATAAGTATATAATGGATGTATAAGTGTAATATAAATGATATATGATGGTAAGGGGTGCAAATTCCTCAAAAGTAATTTATGGTTCCAGCCCATTTATGTAAACTAATCCCTTTAGCTTCAGTGGAAATTGAACCAGCCTCCAATAATTTTCCCACAATATATAACATGTCCAAAGCCAATATTTAATTCTGTTTATCATTTTCAATTCAGATTACAGTCAGACAATCTATCTCTACCAAAGGCAGTGCTTTTTCTGTACATAATTAAGAACATTTACAAATTTCGTTGATAGTTTTCTGTACAGCAAATCGGTGGTCAAACTTTAAACAGTATTTACAAGCACTGGGTGTACGAATAAGTCCAGAAACTCGTCCAGAACTTCTCTCCGTGACCTTGTCTGGGTGAAAAGCTTGCCAAAGCTAAAAGGTAAACGAGTATGAGAGTGTTATGTGTCGCTATAATAGATAGTTATCTCGGTAAAATATTATATCACAGAACAAACTGCAAAAGCCACAGACCTTAAGAAACTATGATAAATGGAGTTCGCCTTGCTTGCCTGCAAGTATATTAAGGATCAAACCCATATATAGTGAACCTTAAGAAACTTGTGAAATGAATCGTTTGCAGGCACAATTGTAGTGAGTATCGGAAACTTATGAAAAGAGAACAAAATAATATAAAATGAAAGATTAAGAGAAGTTTATTTATTTTTCACACGTAATTGCTCTAATCTTGCACAAACAAAAAAGAGATATTATTGAAAGTCAAATCTTTCGAAAATAAAAGTGACATTGGTGTGTTTGCATGAGGAAAAAATGGACTAGTGAATTACTTCCCTTCTCGAGAAGTACACTACACATTCGATCTTACCTTTTCAATTATGAATCAAAATCCATCCATGGGTTCACTTGGAAAAAAACGATAAAAGAAAAAGTACTCACACTAACTGCCATCTTTATTCGCCATACAAATATATATCCACACACTTTCGCTTTTCCTATTATCAATCCCGTATTCCATGGGAAAAAAAATACTCACCTACAGTCGGAAACACATTCTTTTCATAGGTCAACCGTGTTTAGCTCTTCTTTTGATTTTTTTTTTAACATATATCTGTCATTTTCAATTAACACAAGGCATACAATGGTTCTTTATTATTCATAACCAGAAGCACAACGAGTGGAAATTAATATGAAGTTCTGCTGAACTCGTAAGCATAAATGTTTTACCAGATTAGGAGATGGAAACTCAAATCATCTTTTTGTTGCGTCAAGAATCATAGCTCGAGTCCAATGCTCCACGTCCTCAGTCTGCGATGGAGGAGGAGGAAACGTCGGGTGCTCGACTAAATCCCACCCGTCAATTAAGTTTTCATTCTTAACATCAGAAAGGTCGTTAGGAAAAAGATAACTGGCAGCCGAGCTCGGAAGATAAATATCAGATGCATTTCTCTGTGGAAAAGGAGGAAAATAAAACCACTGTTTAACCACATATGGATATTATTACCAAGCTCACAAAGAGTGGAATCCAAAAACAAAATATCTACTCTGCATCAACATTGGAAACAATTTTTACTCATGGGAATATTTGTGGAAAACAAATGCTTGCACACGCAAGGTTGTATTATTTATGTGGAGATAATTTCATTGATCAGCTGGAAAGTGTTATATTTAACACCTTGGAATAGAACCAGCATGGCATCTCTCCAGACTCGGTACCAATTAGGAAAAGGATAATATAATTTGATCCGCTAACCCATTGGAGTCACATAAAACATGCATTACCAATAAATAAAATTTATTTGTTCCTGACTCTCACAGAACAGTAAGCAGAGAGAGAATAGAACTTAAATGCTACCAATTTTAACTAATGCAAGGTTGTCCAGCTATTTTAGAAAATATCCAGCATCACATTAAACAAATATAACAATAAATATCTTGAAAGGAAAACAAAATAAAGAAAATTCATGGATAAGGAAAATGTTGAAACGCACAGGAATTAGTCTAACTTCAAAGTATAAAATGGCCTCTTACTTCATCGTGGAATTTAGTTTATTACATTCTGTATAAATAAACTTCTGATTTACAGTTTGAATGATGATATCAATTCGGCTTTTTTTTTTTCCCGAAAGTTACAAACAACAATATTTTATAAGTGCTACTAGCACAATTCCTCTTCAAAGTTCCCCAAAATGACCACAAAAGGTCAAGTGGTTCCAAAGATGACATGTAAAATAAACGCGTTAGGATTTTATATGCACCTTCTTCTGCATTTCAGATTCTATGTAAAGCCAATGATCAGAAAGATGTAAATAATTCGAAACAGAACTTCCTACCAACAGAGAGGAAAAGAAAGCTATCAACGGAAACAGATAAGATAATCAAAATTGTGGAGGAAACAAATAAGGATGGGTTTATGCACAAATAGTCCTTCATAGTAAAAGACAATGAAGCCAGAAACAATACCTAGCACTTCTAGAATCATATGTAAACAACAAGCATAGTGTGGCAGATATGACATGTATTATTTCTATCTACCGTTACGGTGTTGAGAATCAGAAAATAATCTCAAACTATTGGTAATGAAGACTTATACCAATATAGGTTGGGCATGTGCACTCTCCATTAAAGTGCTAGATGAAATAGCTGACTCCACATTCCATACAGACGTACTCAGCTGTTGACTAGGTTTGGATGACCTACAAAATCGAATTAAATTGCAAATGAAACTTCTTCAAATAGCAATTGTATAAAATATCTTGTACAGAAGACTGAAGTCTAAATGGCTACCACGAAAAATTATCATCTACAATAAAAGAAGTTGCTCAATCATGAACTCAATGCAATTCAAGCTGTAGAATTGAGTATTTTTTGGCCAGGTGTAATTCTGTTTGCTAAAGGCGGTTAAAAATGTAAAAACAAGTAGAATTGGCTATAAATATGCAAATAAATAGATTTCTCGCGTATATTTTCCAAGGATCATGAGATAACTGATATACAATGGTTCAATTCAAATGTTCACACAGTGGATGCATATCAAAATGACACTACAAAAGGCTAATGCTTATACCTGGACGCTGCCGTTCTCAAAGATAGCACAGCCCGTACTTCCTTGGAAGAGGAAAGTGTGGCCAAAAGTCTTGCAAATGCCTCAAAAGTAGAGGCCTCGAGAGGAACATCCAAAGACAACGAGTTATAGCAGTACGCCGTTATGCATGCCACACTTTTCTTGAGGAGTGATATGCCTTTCTGTAAATCCTTGTGTGTTTCAATTGAATGTGGAGATGCAGAAGAATAATTGAAACTACCGCCAGATGATTCTAATCGAGGCCTCCTCTCGGATTCCATTGAAGCAACACCAAAATTGCTTGAGCTTCTCTCGGACCATGAAGTTTCCCCACCAGTGGTGCAAAAGTTTTGCCGGGGAATGAAAAGCGGGAATTCGCTGCTATTATAGTAGAAATTAAATTTAACTGTAAGTAACACCTGTGTCAACAATCAGGTCCACGAGTTGAGAAAGAATACCTTCTGGATGAAGGTCGAGCATCCCAATAAGACTCCCGCTGCCAGATTCGAGAACAAGAACCCTGATGCATGTGAAAACATGGGACAATTTTTTGTATGAAAAAAGAATCGCAAAAATACAAGGCATGTGTAAAGGAAAATACACGACTCATATATAGCCTCTGATTCTGTAGGACTCATTAATTATCAAGATCATAACAAATGGGCATAAGCTTTTGACAATGGTATGAGTGATGCAAACCCAATACCAACAACAACATATTATAGATGAACCCTGACCTAGTAGATTAGATCCTCTACTCCCATGGCCATTAAATAACATTAAGAATTAAGAAAATTAAAAATATTTTGTCTGAAATAAAACACTGAAACTTAATAAAAGGATATGATGGGTTCTAGGCAGAGCAGCAGGTAAGAATTTAATTGGAAAAAAAAAAGGTAAAAGTCCCAAACGGGGAGGAACAGAACGGGTTCAGGTTTCAAGTTTCAACTCATCTCATTGTTTTACCTATCTATTTAAATCTACTGCAGCTTAAATCTAAATGCAATCTCGTCTGAATAAATAAACTTTACATGCTTTATCCTAATTCTCACACCACAAAGTTTAGCAAAAATATATAAGTGGCTTATGACAGCCACGCACTTACATAATATAAGGTGAAATTTTCTATACCCAATTGTGTGTGCAAAACAGTCTGAGAAAAAAATAAAAAAGATTGTTGCAATATCATCAGGACACAGAAATAAACTTACCGCAAATCCTGAGTTATGAAGTGCAGGAGCACACACAGTAGGAACAACAAGATTTAAAAGTTGCACCATATATCTGTTACAGTCATTCAGAGTGAAGAATAAGTATATCATGATACATCAAGAAATACAAACAAATTGCTTTTGGGCATCACATAAAGAGAAACTACTCTGCATGCATTCAACTCTCTGATGAAATGCACAACAACAGCAGGAATTTATCAAGATACATTTGAAACAGCACATTTTGCATATGAATTCCTCTTAGATGCCCGTACATATATACATAACTGACCAATAACCAATATGATCTGTGCAAAATGATTATCTGAAGTCCAAAGTATCAAGTAAACTATGCCACAAGCCATCAAATGCATTAAGGGCCCATATTTTTACATCGCGGTCTTGCCATCCCATATAGATATTTAAGTCACCCAATAACCTATTCCATAATTATTTAGGGGGCGGTTGTTTATGGTTTCTCCAGTAAAAAAACCAATCAAAACTCAAATTTAACTCAACTTTAACCCAACTCCACTATCTCTAATATTATCAATATAATTAAATAATATCAACCAATCATTATTATGTATCACATCAACTTAAATTCACTATTCATTCACTCACATAATTTTAACTATCACTTCCAATCATTTTTCTCCTACTTTACAATCAAATCAACTTTAATTATTTTATTTAAATGTTATTTTAATATATCCACTAACAACTAACCATACCACCTTTTTTTCAAAATTAACTATAATTAAAAAACAAACCAAATAAAAACTAGTTGAATCCATAAACAATCACCCCCTTAAACAGCAATTCATGGACCAAAAATGGAAACTCGTAACACTTGTACGCATAAGAAGTCCAACCTCTCACCAAGCAAAGAGCACATATGATGAAAAAGATCACTAGAAAAAATTACATGACCAGGATTATTTCTTATATTGTCCCAAAAAAAGGCGACTCATATAAATCAAATTACAAGAGCAGCTTAAGAGAAAAAACAGGATATCATGATCCCTAAGAACGACAGATGGGAATACACACGCACACACACACGCATACACATATGGGGATATGAAAGCTCACCCCAATGAGGCGGCAAGCTCATCTGATGGAACTGAATGGGGATCTAATCCTTTTGGCAAACGTGCACTGCATATGGTATCAAATTGACCTTTCAACTCCTGCAGTAAAGCTATAATGAACTACTGTTGAAGGAACCAAATTTACAAAGAAAATGCTGTAAACATTACTGTAGAAACTATATAGAACTTGTACCAACATTCAACTACGAGAACAGGGGGCGTCAGAAAAATGATTAGGGCATTCAAAATGTAAATGGAAGCTTCGACGAAATAATGAATTCGTAAAAAAAGAAAAAAAAAAATCACCAACCTTGACGTGGATAAAGTTTGCCAAAATGCATGCAACTTAAAGGACTTTACAACACAAGATCATAAACAGATTACAGATAATTGTCTAACTGATGGAATCACTATAGGATATCATGACATGTCAGTAATGCAAATAAGAACAGCACAGTAATTATTAAAAAAAAGGATAATAAATTAGTAAGGGACAGCAAGTTTAGATAGTACCCGGCGCAGGGGAAATAACTTGCATATCTGCTTTATAATGACTGATTGTTTGTGAAGGCGTTCAGAAGTAATTGCCATCTGCAAAAATCCAGATCTGGAGCATTAATCTTTGTTGAGAAAAAGCAAGTTAACTGGAAATTGTGAAACCATCATTCAAAGATTTTGAGTTACATCATGAAAACTGTAATATCGAACATATGAAATAAAAATAAGTTAAAAAAATACTCACATGACCAAGACTCTGTGTGCAGATAAGATTTGGATAATACTTCTCAATTTGTTCCACACGATTTTTTTCCAGCTGCAATCATATAGCAAACCCCTTACTCTATTCATCATAAAACCAAATAACGGCTTGCAAAGAGGAAAACTCTGAGAGTACTATCTAAGCCAGAAAACAGCTATCCGAATTTAGAAAAATACATCAATAATACCATGTTCATAGCTGATTCAAGCAACTCATATTTCACTTTCAGATCATGAGACATCTTTCCAATCTTAGCCTTTCCTGAAATAAATCAATTGTTTACATCAGAACAAAAGCCGAAAGTGAAGAACATTTTACACCTTAAGTGAAACGAAATTCTGAGCAGCAATCAACCTTGTGATACTTGTTCTTTACGAAGTTGAAGTTTATCTCTCAAGCTTGCTAGTTTCTCATGTTGAAGCACCCGCCAACTTTGTTGATCATCAGCCTTGCCCTAAAATGATCTCAAATATATAAATAAGCAATTCTAAATGTTAATCAAGCATTATTGTAAAAACTAAAAACCTGTTCGAAGCAAGCTACACCAGAAACACAAATATCCACGATAAAATAGAACATTGTGTGCTCATATGATATGTACGGTCAATTACTTCATTCGGAACCCCACTGTAATCATAAATAATATAACAGATTAAATAATCTGAGTTACTTTCCTCGAGCATTTGAATAAAACCTCCGAGAGGCTTCACTGCGATAACCATAGTCTTCCAGGTTTAGTATATCACAAGAAAAATATCAATGTCATTGTCCTATGCATGTCTAATCTCTAAACAGGTCGGGTTAATCTTCCAACACCCATTGTCAACTCTATTGATATTATGATAGCTAAAATGTGATCATCCACATAATTACATTTCCAAGAAGTTCACAAGCATACAAATATCTTTGTAACAAGTTGTCTCTTTCTCCAGACACAAATCTGCTCAACACCATGAACCACCAACAGAAACTAAGTACACAAGTATTTACCAGTTCAAGAAAGCAGACACTAACTAAGAAACTTCATGGAAACACGATTGTCAGGAGATTGTATTACTAGGTCCTTTAAGGCTTCTCCCCAGTTAAAATGCACACACACACACACACACACACACACATATTTATACAGTGATCTCTAAGATGACAATCAAGCACCAAAATAGGTCGAACAACATGACACATTCCTTTGCTACAAGGACTTGAGTCAACTCTATAGATATTCCAATAGCTAAAATATGATCATCCATGTAATCAAATTTCCAAGAAGTTCACAAACATACAAATAACTTTGCAACAAGTTGTCACTTTCTCCAGACACAAATCTGCTCAACACAAAGAACCACCAACGGAAAAAAAAAAAATAGACAAGCACTTACTGGTTCAAGAAAAAACACTGCCTACGATTCTTCGTAGAAACACCCGATTGTCAGAATATTGGGTTAATAGGTCATTCAAGGCTTTATATCCAGCTAAAACACACACACATACACATGTGTATACTGATCTCCATGATGAAAATCAAGCACAAAAATAGAACGAACCACACAACGCATACCTTTGCTACAAGGACTTGAGTCAATCTCGAATACAGTGCGTCCCTCTTGCTCTTCAACACCCTCAAATTACAATTGTACTCATTCAATCTGAACAATAATCCTCCAAAATCAGCACATCTTTGCTTCTACAGGAGAACCACAATGCTACCAACAGGCACTCGACCTGAAACTAAAGGAGCAAACGGCGGTGAGCTTACCTGCAATTGACGCAGACGGGGCATATAGAGGCGAGATTGGAGCTCTCGCACACGACACAGGTGTTCGTTTTCCTGGTATTAGCCGTAACCATCTTCTGCGGCGAGGATTGCCAGACGCCGGAAAAGCTCTGAGCTGATACGACGGAGAATATGAAGGGGAAAGTGAAAAATCTTAAGCGAAGAAGAATGTAGTCGAAGCCTCTTTGGTCGAATTTACGGATCGAAAAAGGCGAATTTTGCTGGCAAATTGAAAGCTCCTTCTGTATAAAGGAATTGGGCTTCAATACCTATCAGTTTGTGTTTCAAAAGGAGCAGGATAAAAATAGAGTGAAGAATGGGGAATTATTTATTTATTTAAAAAAAAAAACAAGTGGAAAAAAAAAAAAAAAAAAAAAAAAAAGAAAAAAAAAAAAAAAAAAAAAAAAAAAAAAAAAAAAAAAAAAAAAAAAAAAAAAAAAGGTGGAAAAAAATCAAACACACGTATTCCTGTGTTTTTAATTGTAAAACGTATTACGATAATACGTTTTACTTATAAAAACGTATTCTCGGAATACGGTATGTTAAAAAAATGATTAAAGAACTTAATTAATATAATTAAATTAAGTTAAGACGCATAACCAAAATACGGTTTATATGAAACCGTATAATCGTAATACGTTTTATAATTATAATTAATTTTAAATAATTTTTTAATTATAAAATGCATTCTATAAATGCTGTTTTAAAAATAAAAATAATTTTATAATTCTTAAAAATAATATTTTTTCCAGGAAAAAAAATTTCAAACATAAAACGTATTTTAATAATACGTTTTATGTTAAAAATCAATTTTTCCCCAAATTGAATTTTCTCATAATTTAATTTTGCCCTAAATTTCAATTTGATCATAAAACGTATAAGAGTAATACGTTTTTTGAATAAAATAAAATATAAACTGTATTCTGTAAATACGTTTTAGTCTGTAGAAAAAAAAAATATTGGCATCCATTTTTCAACGAAATAAACTTGTTCAATATCTCATAACGAAATAAACCTGTTCAACCAATCACAACCAAATAAACCTGCTCAACCAACTAATACCAATCAATTCGCCAAATAATAATCCAACATACACTATATAAAAAAGATGAATCGCAATAATTTATTAAAAAACACTACATACCAAAAAGGTCAAAATAAAGTTTATACGTACAAAACAAATACAATTTATACATACAACAAAAACTAACACAAACTAAATATGAAGGAGTGAAGAGATCCCTAAGCTTGCGCAATCGGAACCCCTTCCGAACCTTTGGCCGTGAAGAAGACGAGGGTGTAAGGGTCTGTGTGAGATCTTCGGAATCCGACTCATTCTCTTCATTTGAGTCTTCTTCATCTCAGTCTTCTTCACCTAAGTAATTAATTTAGTAAAAAAATCACAAATTGGACTTGAGAAAAAAAAATAAAAAATAAAAGTCAAAAAATTTAATCTTTTTGTTAAGTAAATAAATCTCACGTTGTTCAGGCCCAGGATTCTCAGGTTCTTCAGGCTCGGGGGACGGTTGATTCGTTGGGCGGGACCGATATCTTCTACCCCCACCAATGTTGGGGGCGGGTCGATGCCTCGCGACGTGGGACTGTGTCCGCTGCGATGGAACGTAATCGTCCTAGGATAGAATTTGACTTGACTGCGCCGTTTGTGTAATAGTTCGGCCTCCAACAGTCAGATAAGTATAGACAAAGTTGTATGACTGTTGGAATGTTGTATGCACCTCTGGATGGAGTGTAGGCATCAAGTGTTGAATACTCTCTATCGAGTTATAGACGCCCTCCATGCCAGAAGACTGAAAATACAATTAAAATTAAAAGTAATTAGTATGAAACACACAAAAAATAATAATAATAATAATAATAAAAATAAAAAAACCACAAATTATATACACTTACCCCGCACGCTAACTGCTCGGCAAATGGTTGATAGCCGTCGGCCTGTTGGAACGCCTGGTAATTACCAGGGTTACTGAGTAGTCTCACAGTCTTACTGTGAAACCAATCAATGTAACCCTTGTCTGGCTGCAGGAAGTCATACATAGGGGCAAGTAGGAGGAGATTTTTTTCTCTTTCTTCCCAGGTCAAGGTGAACGGTGAATGATAGTCGGCCCAATCAAGGAATGCCCTCCCAGTCATTCCTTGGTCGGCGTGGTTTCTGGACCAGTCTTGCTCACACGTATTGATCGTATCTTGGGGGATGGACTGGCGACACTCAAATTGTCGGAGTACTCTATCAGGCAAGTGTAGCTCACGTGTGCTCCAACAAAAGATCCACCCCCGGTACATCCAGAACTGTGGACCTTCTGTGCACTCACCCGAGAGAGTACCATCTTGCAGGTACTGTTGATAGGGCATCCAAATGAACTAAAATAAAATAAAAAATTAAGAATTAAGAAACAAAAAAAATAAAAACAAAAAAGAAGGATAAATTAATAATTAAGACTTAAGAATCTTACATCTGTCTCTCGCAGCCCTGTCAACTGATCCCGGATTGCGGCCATTCCCTTGCATACATCTTTTAGACTTTTTCGTCCCACCCACCTTAAAAATGACATAAAAAAAAAGTTTTTAATCACAATTTTCGATAATCGAAATAACCTACGTATTAAATATAAATAAATCTTATTACCTGGCACCCAGGGGACAACCACCAATCGAATCAAACTGTGTGGACTTCATTGTTGGGGGAATAAGAGGGATACGCTCCCACGCCCAAACCTACACATATGGACATATGCATTTGTTACTAAATATTAGTCCCAATTATAATAAAAAATAATGAATTTCAAAGAAGAATAAAATAAACTTACCTGAATCAATTGCACACAGCTCTTGATCCATTGTGCTCCAGCCTCGTAGGCAGTGCACAACGCTCTATATACAGCGGCCAGGAGCGCTGAACCCCAGTTGTACCCCTTAATCTCGTCTATGTCCTCCAGCAGCTGCAACCATTAAAGATTCACGCCATTCCCCCGCTGGTCGGGGAAGAAAAAAGAGTCGAGGCACCAAAGGATAAGGGCCCTCGCCCTCTGGTCGTAGAGTCTGGTTGGAAGTCCATCTCGCAGAACTTTGATGCATTCCTTTTCTAATTCCGAAGACTTCATAAACTGGCCTTTAATGGCCCAACCAGCGGGATTGTAAGTCGCTTCCTCTTCCGGAGTGTTGGGGGATCCTGAGAGTGGTTTTTATATATATTAAAAACGATATAATTGAGTGGACATGCATTTAAAAAAATAGGAAAAAATATACCTGGACATCGGGTCGAAACCCTAACAAGTCCTTGCACCTATCACGCCATTGTACCGGTGTTAGATCTACCATCACTCCTAAACAAGCAGCTCCATCAACCGGTAGACCGAACAGGACTTGTACATCCTGCAGAGTGATGGTCGCCTCCTCGAAATCGAAATGGAAGGTGTGCGTCTCCGGAAGCCACCTTTCGAGCAGACCGGTAATGACGGCGTTGTCGGTTTGGACTCGGCCCATTCTAAACAAGGGCCCGAAACCGGTCCGCTCGATCACCTCCCAAACCGACGGATGCTGCTTTGGCAAAGCCTTTCAGAACTGTCGTAGCGGCGGTTTGTAACCGTGTCGCTATGAGTTCTCGGTTGATTATTATAAACCGCCCATGCCTGGTGTTTGTATTGAAGATATAGAAATCTGGTATCCCTCGGTCCAGGGTGTACACCGTATCTCTGAGGCTGGGACGACGATGATGAAGCCATTATCTACAATTACAAAAAAAATTATATGCACAATGAATTCCAATAAGAAATGAAATTAATGAATAAATTGTTACGGCGTAAAAAATAAACAATCAAACGATCATAAATTAATGTATAATTCAAATCAAATACCCGATTTCGACAAATACAAACATAATCTAATTTCCAATTCGAATCCTTATTCAATAAAGCATGTAATTCACAATTCCTATTTCAACAATGAATCGAAACCTAACCCTAACCATAATGAGAATGAGAATGTCTTGGATGGTTTGCCAAAAGTAACTAAAGACAGTATACGTGATGTGAGTTTACATATACTATTTGACTCAATACATTTTATAGTTCAGTTTTATATCTGGTTTGTGACTCCATGATGTTTTCTTTGCTGTTTTGTAGCATTGGGCTCCAATCAAGAAGTTGTTGAAGCATTTTTGGTCATCATATCCAATTACAACAAAGTATCTCCATGAGAAGGTAGTTACACAATTATATAAGTGCATGAAGCAGTGATAAACAATGCGAACATACAAGTGACCAGCCAGTGATAAAAATCTAATACTCATGGTCAACATTTTTATCTCATTTATGCCATATCTCTGACTCCTTGAATTTGACCCATTACTCATGATATGTGACACGATTGAAAGGTGTAATGACAAACATGTATCCAAAGGTTCAGGTATTCTTTACTCTTAAGTCTTCAAGCTATTAACCTATTATTTTCATACCTAAGCCGTGTATACAATGAATCAACAAAGTCGTATGGTCAATAAATAATTCATCAACATCTCCAATGTTGGATTCCAATTCAAAACCTAACCTAACACTAATTTGAATTAGGCAAACAACATTCTAATTGAAGCCATTTTCAAAACCATATTTCATTCGTGCAAACAACATTCCAATTCAAAGCTCTAACCCTAATTCAAACCTAATTTCGAATTCAAAACCTAATTCCAAACCCTAAATTTCTCATGTATTCATTTACCATATTTTCAATTTAGAAGAAATATTTACCTTGTAGACGGCGGTGCGGCGCGGCGGTGCCGCGGCGGTGGTTTCTCTGACGGAGGTTCTCTTCGGTGTCTTCTCGAACGGTACTCTCTTCTTTCTTTTTTCTTCATTCTTTTTCCGTCTCTGTTTTTGCTCGCGCAAGGAGGAAGAAGAAGATTTTTTATTTATATTTAATATAAAACCGTATTATGAGAATACGGTTTACGTTAATTATTTCTAAATTGTATTCTTAGAATACTTTTTACTAATAATTATAAGTAAAACGTATTCTGAGAATACGTTATATTTATTAAAATATATAGTATATAGTATATAAC